TAATTGGCAACGCTTAAATTGTTGAGAAACTGAGCAATTTATCGAAATGGTCAGGCAAACGACCCTGGCCTCCGGCTCGGACCTCCGGACCTCCGATTGCCTTCCGATCGCCCCAGGAGCATTCCTTCATCGCGTTCAGCGATATCGAGCCCAGAGCTTCGGCTCTCTTGAAAAATGGACCATTTTCCTTCCCCCTCGATCAGAGAGACTCGGAGCGCATTAGGCATCAGCAGCGGCTGCCGTTCGCTCAGCTGAGGCGTGCAGACCAGTTTCCATATGCCTAGAATGGGGCACTTGAGAAACAGAGGCTTCTGCCAGATCTCCTTTGGGATAAAAAGTGTTTTAGCATCTATAGAAAGCTTCCAAACTCAGGGACTGGCTCTGTTTGGAAGCGCTCTATAGGAGCTAAAAGACTTTATCCCAACGGAGATCTGGCAGAGACTCCAAGCTCTTTAGCTAGGTTTTCACAGGAAAAAGCCATTTCTCAAGTCCTTTCCTAGCGAAAACAAGCCTCCGGAGTGAGCACGCCTCGCACTTCTTAAGAGCAATCCTGCAAAAGCAAGCCTCTGGAGTGAGCATGCCTCACTGTTCTTAAGAGCAATTCTGTGAAAACAAGGCTCCGGAGCGAGTACACTCGCTCCAGAGGCTTGTTTTGGCTGGGAAGGGGCGTGAGAAATGGCTTTTTGCTATGAAAAGAGCCAAAGAGTGAGGTGCACTTGTTCTGGAGGCTTTTTTTGGGGCTGGGAAGGAGCTTGAGAAATGGCTTTTTCCTGCAAAAACGTAGCCAAAGAGCTAAAAAAATGAAAAGATTAAAAACTAAAAATAAATAACAAGATTCAATACATGGGGACTGGTAGTATCTACCACAATGACAATCTGGGTTTAGGAAAAACGATCAAAAGAAACAACTGACTGCAAAAGAAAGGTAGAATCTTTTCATGGGATTGGTAATGGAATATAAAAGAATCAGAAACTCAGTACACATGCTCAGGATGAACCAAAGATGCAATTGCAGCAAAGGTATCTTATTTTCTTGTATGGGTTTTGGAACATAGGCTGTTTGGAAGCAATATTATTGTTGTGAGTTCAAATATCTCTTTTCACAAAATTGATAGCTTTGCACACTTATTGGTAAACATGCCACTTTCTCCAGTATCTTAGATATAAAATACAGCTATGAAGTAAGTTATAATTGAAAATTCATTGGAAATCAGAGGTACTTGACATTTTTAAAGTATATTTTTAACAAGGTTTAATTGATCATTAACCATTATGCTAAAAAATAACAGAGTAGGTATCCTATAATTAACACTTGTCTGAAGAAGTCTCCATTGTAATAACTGTGTAATAACTTTTGAATCATCTCTAACTATCCTAACTTGGTAATAAGTGTTTGTTAGCATATTTCCCAGAGGGAGAGATTCACGTTAAATACAATGTTTGCTCAGTATTGAAGCAGTTGATAACAAGGTCTGTGCAGTTACAAATAATAGTGCTTTGTGTGCGATCTGCCACAACACATTTCAGTAATGCTATTTTCATGTAGGCTTTTAATTAACATATAACTGTCACCACAGGTTGACTACAGAAGGCTCTTGTATCCAGCAGAGAGATAAATGCCAATGCCACGTTACTTGGGTTAGATAGCATACAGGAGGTCTATAATATAAAATGGATTTATAATTAAAAGCCACTCATTACAAAGTTATAAAAGAAAGAATGCCAGCAACCTGGCAATTTCATGGTAGAAGAGTATTATATTCACCTGAAAGGAAGATAAGCTTAAATTTAAAATGATTTTCTCTCCAAAAGTAAGTAGGTGGAAGAAGGGGTGTGGTATGTGTTTTGTATGCATACAAACACTTATGCAGTACTCAGTTTCCTTACCTTATCAATCAAGGATTGCCAATTTTAAACAAAAACTATCTTAAAGACTTGCTCTTTCCATAAATGTGTGCAGGAAGCACACTTAAATATGTCGTATGTAGGTACATGCATGTTTGTGTGTCTTCAAAGCTTTCTAGAAAGCTAAAAGAGTAGGGGCCTCAACAAAGGGCACAGACCATTAGTGAAAAAGTTTTCTGCCTAGGTCCTGATTAATGGCAAAATTAAGAAAGGGACCTGGAATATGCCCAACATATCTGATCTGGTGGAATGAGAATATACTATCCGGGAGAGGCAATCCTACAAATAACCTGGACTTGTGTCATTCACCTGGAAAGAAACTGAAAATCAGGGCAGTTTATGCATCAGCAGTATAACATGGACAAACTGCATGCAACTCAGTATTCTGGCCCAGTTATAATTTCTGCATGGTCTTCAAGAGCAACCACATGCAGTAATTCAGCCAAAAACTATGAGTGACTATAACCCAGACCTTTCAATCCAAGATTGGGTACAATTGATGTAGCAAATGAATCTGCACCAAAGGTTCCCGTAGTCATAGCTGCCACCTGTTCCTCAAACAGGAGTTGTGAGTTCAAGAGGGGCCCCAAATTGCATATCAGCGCTCTCTAAGGGAATGCAGCTCTGGCAAGAATAAAATATAATAGCTCATCAGAACTAGGAGGACCAGAGACCCAGAGCAATTATATTTTGCTTGGATTGAGTTGAAACTATTTTTTTCACATCCAAGGATTTATAGCCTCAGGCATTCGGCCAGTACTGGGATAGTGCCCCTTGATTGGCAGTATCAAAGAGATAGTTGGCAATCATTAGTGTAGTGATCATACTGCGTCCTGGACCATCAGATGGCATCTCACAGAAGATGTTAAGGAGGAAGGGCAAAAAATCCAAACATTAGGTATCCACACAGCAGGTGTCCAGGCCTCACCCCTCACCAACAGTTGTATCTGCTGCAGAGGAAGGAAGACAACCATTACAATGCAATGCTCCCCACACCCAGCCCAATAGCCTGTGAAGAAAAATATTGCGGTTGTTGGTATTGAAAACCAAAGAGAAAGCCAGGAAAGCCAGGATAGTTGCAGTACCTGTCTTTGATCCTTCACAGTTTAATCCATAAGTGTGGCCAACTGTCTCAGTTCTATAACCCAGCCTGAATACTGACTCCAAAACAACATCAGTACTTTCAGAATAGATTCATCAGGCAGCCTTAATAAATATAAAAAAGAAAGATTAATATTCTAAAAAGCTAGGTGACTGTGATAATTAACTTAGTTAACACCATGGGCTCCATCTCTGATACTGCGTTGGATGCCACAAGGTTCAGTTCTAGCCTCATACAGTCACACTTCTCCTCTTGATTAGATTAGGAGAAGAAATATTTACCAAGTTTGCTGATGGCAAATAATTGGTTAGAATATCTTGAAGACAAAATATACCAATAGTGATATAATATAAAAATACATTGAAAATAACAGAAAGAAATTTACCGTATTTTCCGGCATATAAGGTGACCCAGCCTATAAGATGACCCCCGACTTCGGTGCCGATTTCCATGCCTAGAAAGTCGTCTTATCCGCTGGAAACTACCATAATTTCCGGCATATAAGATTACTCGGCGTATAAGACGACCCCCGACTTCGGCACCAATTTCCACGCTTTGGAAAGTCGTCTTATACCCCAGAAAATACAGGTAATAGAGACAACGTTCATAATTTCACAAACAGACATAAAATGCAAGGTATAGAAGTTATCTGGTTTGGTATAGTAGTGGTAAAAAAATCATGAATTGATTTTAAAGCTACATACCCAGATATAAAGTTTCCAAACACATGAAGTATTAATTGTTTCATTTTGTTTTGCACTGAACAAACCACACCTCTAGAATGGGGTAAAGTCCTGGCCAGCGTGTTTTAAAGAATAATTCAGATAAGCTGAAACAGTTCAGAGGAGGGCACAGAGGCCGATCAAGAAATAGTTGAAAAAAGTTGAAAGAATTGGGTATGTTTAGTCTTAGGAAAATTGACGAGATTATAATCTTCAGTACCTGAGAAGGAAGGGGGGGTATATATTAAGGTATGTTTTCTGTCATTCTGCAGAACACAACATGGAATAATGGTTTTAAGTTAAGGAAGATGGATTTCTCTGGGTTGATATGTATTTTTTTTTTTTAGATCGTAGCTTAGTATCATTTTAGAAAATTCATCCGAAGAACTGCTTTTCTAGTTTTTCTTCATTTTTTTCTTCCCTTGTTGGGAAGATCTTACTTCTTGTTCAGGAAAGAAACTTGCATAAAGTAGTCAGGCCTGGTCTACCTTCTCATCCTTCTCTCCCTCTGGCAGCTTTAGCTCCTCAATCTGTCATCCATACCTAAGCTTTGTTTCTCCTCTACCACAATCTGGAGACCCCAATACAACGTCACAGAAAATATCAGTGAGCAGAGATTCCTGGAGGATAATGCTGTCAGAGCAAGAGTATTGCTCTGCCAACAATGACCACTGTTGCCAGGAGACCCACCAGGTCAGGTGGCCTGGCAGTTTTTTTTTCTTCAAGCTCTTCATCCAACTTACAAGTCTTTAGCACTTGATCAGCAGCATCCAGAACCCATATAAAGTGTTGTGCAAAACATTATTTGCAGAACTGCATGCAGTTGATAGATGGGAACTTGAGAACTCTGCTATAACCATTCTCCCATTTCTTTCTCTGCATGCACAGGCAAGGCAATGAACATTAATTGTATATTTAACCTATGACCATTAAGCCTCAAGATTCATACCCAAATTAGTATTTTCAAACTGGATGAAAATATGATGGAAACATGAAATGTAACAAATGTAACAATTTTCTTTTTAAAAATGCAACAGGTACAACTGATTTCTGCATCTAATTATTTAGGAAATGAAACATTTTAAGAAGGATAATCCCTTCCACAGTGAATTTCAAAAAAACTGTAAACATTTCCATCACATGCTATCATAATTTTGTTTAGCTATAATTTAACAAAATACTTTTTAAAATAATTACATGAAGGTAAGCAATTTCTGAAATACTCCTTGTGTTATCCTATTTTTTTTTTTTTTTTAATATTTTTTCCTCAGGTCCTCCCATGCCATCTTCTTCATCTAGTCAATCCGTTATTGAACATTTACATTCCCCTCCTCCATCTCCAAATCTCCATGACAACCAGAGATGGTTGCTAAGTACTAGTGCTATCCAGCCAGTTCAGGACTCTGACACTGATGAGGACTATACTGCCAGCTCTTACCTAGTACAGACCGGTCCTGTTTCAGTTTTTGCCTCAGGTCATGGTAAGAATAGGACATCTTGTCCATAGTTTTTCTATTGCATCTTGAAATAAAATACTCTGACAAAAGATTAATTGTTTTTACTTTATGTTTGAAAATGTATATGAAAATAATATAGATTTATTTTATTTATTAAACAGAAAAAAGTAGAAGAACTGAATTATGTTAACTTTTCCAATATTAAAATAAAAGAATCTAATTCAGATATAGTAGGAAAGTAATTATAACAGCAGAAGGTATTCTTAACTATAAAGATTTTTGGAACTCATACAGTCCAGTGTCTACTCAGAAGTAAACAGGCTTACATTAATTGGGTTTTATTCCCTGGGAAGTTTGTGTACAGTGACAGCCTTAGCTTCTCTTATAATTTAAAGTAGACCTTTTTAGAATTTTTGAGATCTAAGTTAGTTATGACTAATTAAAGTTCTTCTGCTTACATTAGGATTATTTTAGATACAGGTACATGCAACCTGGCTGAAAGGAACAAGTTTCTCTGCTCAATTCCCTCAAATTTTCTTTTTAGAGTCTTAGAAATCCCCCGCAAAGAACCAGTAGACTCTTGGGTAAAGGGGCATGGAAAAAGGAAAAGAGAGTTTTGTGAAATGAGTTACATATTTTTATCCTGAGAGTTGCTTAAGAATATCATTGGCAGATATACCTCCTTTTCTCACAGTACAGCTCACCTTATTGAATCTTCCATAATACTGTATACATTATTTTCAGAGTTTCCCTCCATGGCTCTTAAAGCAACATTACTTCAGACTTTCACCATTACACTTTAAATAAAGATAAATTTTTGAATGAGATTAAATATCGAGAATCATGGTCTATACATTACTAATTATATAATTGCATTATAATTGCAATATAATTGAGTCAAATTGAGAAATTGTTTTTCTTCAACTATCCTATGAAATTGAAATCTATACATCAAAGAATCCAGGCTTAGGAATGGTTTCCATACCGTGTGTTTAGAGGTAATCCGAAGTGTCATATTTGTTCCTTCACTGTGACTGCTACCCTTCCAGAATTGCCATTGGAACAAAGTGAGAGCCAGATAGTTTATGACAGGGAGTAGTTTAGACAAATTTAATAAATATATTCTTGCTTACATTCAATTTCAAACTGTTTTCTGCATTAAATTCTTTAAATGAACAAGTACTAGGTTAGCACTCCTGCTATATCATCAGATTGATTTATGTGGAGATGTACAGATTTATGTGAAAGTCTGGTCAAATTCAGAATTCCTTAGCAAGATAGAAGCATGTGCAGAAGTTTGAACTCTATTTCAGTCAGATATTATAGCATCTCTTTTAGCAGAAATAAATATTTTCACATATTCTCCTGCTGTCTTATTTATAAATTTATTACTAGTGCTTTTTTAGTTTCCTAAAAATCTTCGGTACTTGCTTTTGGGATTTTTTCCCCTACTGATCCTTATAGAATTCTATATAATTCTGCTATAGTATTTCTAAAATATTCTTAGGTATTGCATGTTAAGATTTTTTCTCATAGAAGTCTGGGTGCTGAAGGTAATTCCAAACCTCTTAGTTTTTTCTAACTACCGTAAATGCCGGCGTACAAGGAGACCCGGCGTATAAGACGACCCCCGTCTTTATAGCCAGGCCGCATTCCTAGAACGTCGTCTTATACGCCGGAAACTACCAGTATTTCCGACGTATAAGATGTCTCGGTGTATAAAACGACCCCCGTCTTTGGCGCCGATTTCAGCGCTCGCGGAAGTCACCTTATATGCCGGCATTTACGGTACTTAATTATTGATGTGGATCTGAATATTTCAAATTGTTGTCTTGCTGAATATCAAAACTTTTTCAACCTCAATTTCTTCACTGTCTCTGGCATATTAGATTTCTTTCCAAGGAAAATTTCAGTGCTAGAACTTTTCCAAACCAGTCTGACCTGCAATACAGAAGCCACAAATCATTCCAACCAACTTGACACAGGAATACTCCTCACATCCATAGGCCAGCATTGTTTTTACAAGAATTATTTGAATGAAAATTATTAGAAGCCTTTTCTTCAAAAATCCTCTGAAGTATGTAAAATAAAGTTTTGTCAAGCCTAAAATGTTTTGAAACAAAGAATTTGTATTGATAAAAAATATAGAACTGCTTTGTCACAGCCCTATGCATTTGGAGGAAAAAGAATGTAGTATTTTTTAGAAAAAAATACCTTGTTCTCCAGCATGGTGGATGGAGAATCTACGAGTGAGTTGTCTTAATCCTCCTAATCAAATTAGACTAAATCTGGAAAGTTGCCACACCTCCTGCTGGGCTAGAGTACCCCAGTTTATGACTTAGTCTCTTGCTTAGCAGATGCGTAAATTATGCTCCTTTCCAGATTTAGCTACAGGCTGTATTCTTTCCACTCGTGGATTTTCCTCCTTCATTACCTTAATTAGGGAAAAAAATGGACTTAATTTGGCTCACTTTCCTTCTAAAATTGAACTTGCAATTTCACCTTACGCTGAGAGGAATTTCTGTCAGCCTTCAGGGTTGCCCTGCAGGCTGCAGTCTCCTGCTCTCCAGGAGAGGCTTCGCTCCACATGAGTCCTTCCGAAGACTCGAAATTGCTCCAGCTGTTCAGTCCTTGGGGCTTCTCACTGGAGCCATAACAGCGATTTCGGAGTTCCTCAGCGTTTTCCCTCGCCGTCAGATGATCCTTCTCAGAATCGTCTGCCTCTCTCTTACACCGACTGCCTGATTCGGCAGATTACAGCAGCACCGAATTCTGCCCCTCAAGCCCTTGGACGGACGGTCCTTTCAGCCTCTAATCTATTAAGGCTGTGACTGGAGGCAGTGTTTCTGCCGGGGCTCTGGATAGCATAGTCGGAGGCTGTTATTTTGAGCGCGAAAACAGCACAGCAGCCATTTTGGGCGTGGCACAATCAGCCTGAGCTACATTGAGCCTCTAGTTAAGACTTGCTTGAAGGGGGCCAGAATTGGTGCGCATATCATGCGGCTGCCATTTTGAGCACAGCGCTAAGGGCTGCATTCGAATTTCCAGCCTGTAGGCTTCAGTCAGTTGGGGCCTTTACTACCTTTTGCCATCTTGCCGGCTGTTGCGTTTTCAATTTGGGGAGGGCAATGTCACCCCTGTAGGGTCTTATTGCCTGGTCTCACACCCCATCCCCCCCACTTTAAGCAGTCAGGCCTGCACATGCAGGGAGTTACCCCTGCGGGGGACCGAGTCAGACAGTCATCTGTAGAGCGTGCTGGCACTGTCCCGCCACGATTGGCCTCACTGGCAATAGCTGAGTCTTTGTCAGCCATTTATTAGAATATTGGTCGGAGCTGCCTGGTCCAGGATTGGACACATGATTTTCCCTAATTTTTTCTGCTCCACATTGCAGGATTCCTCCCAACTTATCACCGGGATATCCCATTGAAATGGCGGATGATTTGGTTCCTCAGTCTGCATAGGGCGTTCCAGACTCCCTCGCCAGAAAGAAACACAAGTCTTCCACAATGGAAGCGGCGGGGAGGCTTAAGGCCAAGGCCAGGGCTCAGTCCAGTAGGAAGCCCTCGAAAGCAGCTGAGAAAGAGGCCAGTAGATGTCATCAGGTCTTGGAGAACGAGTTTTCCAAGGCACGGAAATTGACTCCAGGTGAGACAGACATTAACACTCCTGGTCCACCTGTGACGTCACTGTTCGAGCCACAGCCCGTTCCCTTTAATCTAGCTCCATGGGCTTGGTCTCTTCAAAGGGAAACTGTACAGATGGAACCCACTTTCCCTACCCAGGGTTTAGAACCGCAGAGGGTTTCCCCTCCAGTCATGGTACCATCAGGGACGGAGGCCACCTTTATACCCACCGCAGCGGGGCTTCGTCCTATTGAGACACAGGTAGCGTCGCCTGATCAATTTCAGGCAATGATGGCTCAGGCTTTCGCCCAGGTCATGGCCTCTTCCGTTTACCAGTGGCCCCAACAGGAACCTGCAGTTTCACTAAGGACATTCCCTCAGACAGAGGCCCCTGCATTTCCTCATTTGGCTTCTTCAAACAGATCCTCTCATGACGAGGAATCAGACTCTGAGGACCTGTTTTGAAACAAAGAATTTGTATTGATAAAAAATATAGAACAGCTTTGTCACAGCCCTATAAGATGCATTTGGAGGAAAAAGAATGTAGTATTTTTTAGAAAAAAAATACATTAACTGTTAAACAGTTTTAATAAGGTGGGATTCTGTGGCATAGGAAATATTGTGCAGATGAAAGGAAAATAGATTTGACTAAATATCAACATATCCCAAGATCTTTTCTAATATCACTTTACTTAATAACTAATAAAAATGCTGTGACTTCTACTCTGTGGAGCTGGACATGGGAGGCTTTCTCAGAAGGTTATGCATTGTCTTACACAATGAGATTTTATTTTATATTGTTGAACTCCCTCAGCAAAAAAAGCTTCCTGATCCTCTTGCTCCTTTGGATTATCTGCTCCACTTGTCTTTCTTTTGTTCGGTTGCCTCTGACTCTAACCTGCCAGTTTGTGAAAAATGTCCATCATGCTTGAGATCTCATAAGTTCATTTTTGTGTGCATCCAATATAATATCTAGACACCATGTCTTTTTTATCCTATCTTCAGTGAAGCTTGCTTGGAATTATGTGTCCATTTAAGGTTTAGCTTAATTATTAGTGCTTCCATTGAATGGTGTACAGGTAGTCCTCAACTTACAACCACAATTGAGCCCAAAATTTATGTTGCTAAGTGAGAAATTTGTTAAGTGAATTTTGCCCCATTTTATGACTTTTCTTGCCATATTTGTTAAGTGAATCGCTGCAATTGTTAAATTAGTAACATGGTTATTAAGTGAATCTGGTTTCCCCATTGACTTTGCTGGTCAGAAGATTGCAAAAGGTGATCACATGACCTCGGTACACTGTCATAAATATGAACCAGTTACCAAGCATCCAAATATAAATCACATGACTGTGGGGATGCTGCGATGGTCATAAGTGTGAAAAATTGTCATAAGTC